TCTATCTATCTATCTATCTATCTATCTATCTATCTATCTATCTATCTTCAGGTACTGCTGAGTCTATTTAGCACCTGCTCCTATGCACATGTGTTTCTGGTTGACCACTAAGGATTGGCTAACACATTAGGAAGCTCATCCCTGGAGAGCCCTGATTTTCTTTTTCTCAGCAATCATTAATTTTCTATCTAGGGGTGAGGGCTTGTCAGCTTTCAGCTATCTAAGTTGGCATGGCCACTGGTGGTGTCATAATGCAAGTCTGGTGTATGTGACTTTATTGCTAAGGTTTCATGGGTGCAGCTTCCCTGTCATGCATAGAAGACATTATCTCATCCCCTGGCTCTTACAATTTTAAAGTTCCCTTCATCTGTGATCTCTGAGCCTTAGGTATAGGGGTTGTGTGTTTTAGATGTATCGATTGAGCATGGGCACTACACAGTCAGCTATTCTCTAAATTTTGACCAATTGTAAGTTACTGTACTAGTCTCCGTCTGCTGCAGAAAGAAACGCTTCATTAATGTTGGGTGAGAGCTACAAGCACACACACACACACACACACACACACACACACGCATAAGTGTTTAGAATACAGTTATAAATTATACTGGTTTAAGAAATTTGTAGTAGTAAGTTCTCCTCCATGGTGCATAACCTCTCTAACCATGGGTAATTAGAAGTTTACAATGCCAGGTGTAAATTCTCTCCTATGGATCAGGCTGTAGTCCAATTAAATAATCGTTGATTATTCCCAGAATATATATGCCACTACTGCACCACTAGGTGCATCTTGACATCTGGACATTGTTGTGGTTCCTGGGCTTTACAGCTGTGTAGGGAATATTGACTGGTTTTCTACCTTGGCAGCTTGCACAGTATCTTTGGGTAAATGAAGAGGTAGCCTTCAGAAAGGGGCTCCCAGGTTACTTCCAGATCAATTCCATGGATTCATAGGCTTGGTATTTTGATTATGTCCTGGATTTCTGGATTATTGTGATCATTTTGATCTCTTTTTCTCCTCACTGGTACTTGAGTGTAGTATTGCTTTGACCTTGTACTATGCCCCTAATATTCTTCCTTCAGCTTGATTGAGTCTATCAATGCTGCCTTCTACTGTGTTTTTTATTTGGTTGCTTGAGCTTTTTATTTTCAATGTTTCTATTTTTTTTCATCGAAAATATCAATTTCCTTGCTGACTTTTTCAAATAGGTTGCTGATTTTCTCATCCACTGTGATGATTTTTTCCCTCTGTGTTGCTGACTTTCCTCTCTAGTCTTCTTCTTTTTTATTCTTTCTTTCCCTTACTAAGAACATTAGCAAGTGTTTTTTTTATAAACAAATGTGCATTTTAGCTACTGACCTGGAGGTCTAGCTGTCAAAAGGCCAAACGATAAATGGAAGAATTAAATATGGAGCAGGGAGGAGATAGAGTAGAGGGGAGGAACATTAATACAAAACAACCCAAAAAGTCCTGATAGGTAAGGAGTTAGTTATACAGTCCAATAAATAGCCTGCCTCTACAGAGTGATTAGTTTGGCATTTACTTCAGTGGCTCGTCAATCAAATGGAACCGTATTTCCTTATCTGAATATATCTGGATTCTGGATTGTGCTAAGTAACAAAAAATTACTTGTTTCTTATCTGAGCATCTTCATACTTTCACTAGAGTTACCTAACTATAGTCAACACATCTGTTCTGAGGACTATCTGCTGGTGACTCAAAAGAAATGTGGACTACAAAAAGGGGCAATTGACCTATAACTATAGTTCAAAAACAAATAGTCTCTACATAGATGCAGAAAATGGCAGCTAAAGTAGCAATGCGAAGGCTTTGGTTGTAGCATTAATTAAGCATTTTAGTTTAAAAGGTTTTTGTTGTTGTTGTTGTTTATCTTGTGACCTGGAATGAACAGGCATCTTTTTGATATAACTGAATACTTATCCAGAGATTCTACTTAACATCAATATATGTGGAAGAAACCGCTCTCTATGGGTAGCAGTAATATGGATTATTGAGCCGTATGAATACAAAATGTGTAGAGTTAATTAAGACTAATATGCATCAGTGGAAAAAAGATGATCAGCATTCATTAATTAGTCCTCTTTATGGTTACTTGTTAGCTGTCAGAAAGCTAAGGGCCTCTCATGCAAGCCAGAAGAATGAGTCATTCAAACTGATTTTCTGAAATACAACTACAGTACTTTACTTCGATTTTCCCATTAATATTATTGTTGCTGGTGCTGTAGTTTTTGAAACAGCGTCTCACATAGCCCAGACAGAACTCCTGGTTCTTCTGCCTTCCCTTCACTTGTATGTGTCATCATTGCATGTGGTAATTTTTGAAGGCAGGCAGTAGTGACTATGAGGCAGTAATGCTAATGACGATGGAAACAAGAGTATAATCCTAATTAATTTGCTGAGAATTATTCCCCATTTGCCATTATTGGGTTGTTTTATCTTGAATGGGTGCCCAGACACTGGAGAAAGTGTGTGTGTGTGTGTGTGTGTGTGTGTGTGTGTGTGTGTGTGAGAGAGAGAGAGAGAGAGAGACAGACAGACAGACAGACAGACAGACAGACAACTGGCTAGCCTGTGATTTCTTAGAGGTTAATTTTTTAAAATGTTGGTTTAGCAGCAATATACTTGATAAATCTGTAATTTACCCAGAATTTCAATTTATTTAATGGTGTTTAAAAATCCTGAATTGATATTTTTTTCTTTAAACTCAAAATATCCTACCTATCCCAAAAGCAATATTCTGACTCTGATGGTGTGGGCTTCAGGGAGTGTGCTAAGAGACCGAGAGAGCAGAAAGAAAAGCAGTCTAAGCATAGCCGCAGTAAGGGTCAGCCCTCAGTGATAACTCACTTAGAAGCTTCCTTCCCATGAGAATTGGAGGATTTGATCATTCTTACTTCACATATTACCCAAAACACTTAATGTGGGTGGGCTGGATTTTTATTTAACATGATTGTCTCAGTGGGCATATAAAATTTAGACAGTATTTCCCTTCTGGGGCTAGGAGCTAAGAGCTTTGTTTATTTGTGTATCTCTACCACTTAGTGGGTTTGTTGTTCTGTACATGCTAAAATATATTAAGTACTTGGGGAATAGGTTAATGATGGATGAAATGACCCCATTACTCTAGTTGGAATTAATACTCTAACAGGTAGAATTCACTTTTGTGTTAAGTGGAATATTATGTACAAAATTTCCTGTAAACTTGGGTCTTTGGGGCCATTCTGCTTGACTTTTGTCTATCCCAGTGACTATTGCTTGTACTTTTGTTTTCAGAGTACTGCAGCCTGAAAACATTTTTGCCAAGGTTACCCTGGTCATTGAGAATGTTAGAATGTGGTGAAGAGACAATAACTTTGTACTTATTTCATATGTTTAGAATTGGGGATTCTGACTACAGAGTACTGAACTGGAAGTCACCATCAAAGTTTTCAATATCAGCCTCCTTGTTATAATAATCAGAACTCCTACTGAGCTAAGGACTCAGAGCTCCCAAACAGGTGACCTATCTATCCTGAGAGGTGGGTGCTTTTGTTAGCCACAGTTTGCGTGAAAGACAATTTAATTCTAAAGTGTTAGGTATACTTCTCAGGCTCTCCCAGTTAGAAAGTAGCAGAGTCAAAATCTGAACCCAGCTTTGTCAGACTCCAAAGCCTGCCCAAAAGTAGGGAAAGCTTTGCCTACTTTTGATGGCGCTCTCCTGGCTCTAATTTGTGTGCACAGTTTGCAATCCCATAGGGCTACTTCAGCTACATGATAGACTTTCTTTTAAGCATCACTCTCTTTTATAGAAGTGCTATCTTTAGGGAGGAGTTGCCTTATTTCTTGTTGCCTCCTTTCTCAAGAACTTGTTCAAGCTCTGCCTTCAGTGACCATGGCCTGTGATCAACTCCTCAGCTACTCTTGAAGCTGCATGGAACAGTTTCCCACTCCTACTTGTGACTACAAGGTTGGGAGAAGTCAGAAAAGAAAATTATAGGGCAGAAGTCCCCTCACGACCTGCTTTCTGTTTTGTTCTCTGCAACAGATTGAAGATGGAGGCAAGGCAGCCTTGTCCCAGAAGATGCGGACTGGTGATGAGCTGGTGAATATCAATGGCACTCCATTGTATGGCTCTCGCCAAGAGGCCCTCATCCTTATCAAAGGCTCCTTCAGGATCCTCAAGCTGATTGTCAGGAGGTAAGGTACAGGTGCCGAGGCCATTGAAAAGTGCTTGATTGATAATAAAGCCTCCATAAAGTGCCATCTCTATCATTATCATCAGCAAGAGAGGTATTTCATGGGAACAGAATTGTGCAGACAGCTAAAGCAGAATGGTCAAAAGGCTGTTGGTTCATATTTTGACACTGTCATATACTCAGTATACCCCTTCAGATAAATGCTTCTTCAGAACTCATTTACTCGCTATTCTGAGGACTCAATGACTAAAAACATATAAAGCCAAGGTTGTTTTTTTTTCTGTCTCCTCTGTCATAACAGTCTTCATTCAATCATCACATATCAACAAAGATGTAAAAGAATCCTACTGCCAGCCATGGTAGACTCTTTGGAGGCTATGGCAAACTCCAAGTCAGAAATGTTACCCTTGTATGGTTTAACAAGTGAAAAAAAAACATGTATGTGTCAAAAAAAATTAATAATACAAAGAAGCAATGAAAGGTTTCACAGAGTTCCTTGTGGTCGTTAAATAAATTGCTTAGACAGAAATTGCTAATTAAAGAGAAAAAGGGGTCATGTCAGGATTCAATAAAGTTACATTCAAAAGAGGAGGTAAAATTTGAGCTAACGAGTAGGTAGAATTAGAAAAATAAACCATCAGAAATAGATAGATTTTTGGCTAAATGGAACTACACAAGCAAAAGGAAGGGCAGGGACACCATTGGGTGTAGTCATGCCAATGCTACCCCTTTTAAATTTTTTCTTTGTTTTCTGAGATTATGATGTAATTTCATCACTTTTGTCTTCTTTCTCCTCCAAGTCTTCTCCCCTTGTTTGCTTCAAATTCATAGTCTCTTTTTCTTTAATTGTTACCACTGAGAGCAGGAGAAACAGTCTTCCCCAGGAATGTTGCATAAGGAGCAGCGGGCCCCGTTCCTGCCGCTCAGCTCCCCGGCTAGTTTTACACCCAAAATAACAACACATAAATTGTATTCATTTAAATACTGCCTGGCCCATTAGCTCTAGCCTCTTATTGGCTAACTCTCACATCTTGACTAACCCATATCTAATAATCTATATGCCACCACAAGGTCGTGGCTTACCGGGAGGATTCTAATCCATGTCCATCTTGGGCAGGAGAAACATTGCCTTGTTCTCAGCATTCTGTTCTGTCTACTCCACTCACCTATGGTCTGACCTATCAGGCCAAGCAGTTTCTTTATGAACCAATGAAAGTAACACATAGAAAGAAGACCCACCTACATCATTTCCCCTTTTTCTGTTTAAACAAAAAAGAAAGGCTTTCACTTTAACATAGTAAAATTACATATAACAAAACAGTTATAAAGCAAGAATCACAGTTACAACATCTATATCTTTTATCTTTTATAATAACGAAGGAAAACTATAACTATCTATTTATTCTTCAACTCCATCAAAGACTCCAGAAGGATATAATATTACCTAAGTAAACAAGAAATAAGCAACTTCCAAACTCTAGAAATAACAGAGACATCTCGCTGCCTACACAGTCACCCAGAGTTCCTCTGTACTGTTGGGGCATCCATCTTCGGCCTCCAGGCCCATAGTATCCAGCAGACATTTCCATGAAGCAGGAAATTTCAAAGACAGTTCAGTCGCTTTCTTTTGTATCCTGCAGAATGTCTCGCAGACTCTTTCATGAATCAGGAACCCCAAAAGACCATCTCACCTTTAGGCAAGTTCAGCAGTCCTTTCTCTATGGGTTCTTTGTGTCCAGTTTATGCATCAGTTCATGCAAGAGAAGTTTCTTGCCCAAATGGCTAACAAACTCCATAAGGAGCCTCTTCGATGCCCACCTTCCTCTTGAAGTAGCTGGTGCTGCCAGGAGCAGATGTGTCTCATTGTCATGAAAAGTTATTAAAACATATGAAATTCCATATTCTGTAGTCTTTGAAAGATATGAAGAATGCCCATCTAACTGAAATTTATCTCTATATATCTAGAAAATCTAACTAACATGACTACAAGCTTTACTATTATTGATGATTATCCATTAACAACCTATATTTCCTAATTATACATTAGATTTTTAAATGAACTATACAATCACAATACCTTAATCAAGATCAGAAATACATATATATATATAATAAAATTGACCTAAAATTTATATCAGTAAGTCAAGTTTTATACCAATGTAAATTATTCATATCTATATCACAGGAATAGTACACTAATTGGTTATCCAATATCAAATGGTCAGTCCCAAAAAGATAGACATGCAAATAACATTATATGGACTTGACAGGTTGTGTTTATGTATTTATGAAGACAGACAGACAGGCAGACAGACAAACAGACACACATTTTTTTTATTGTGGTCCTGGGGATGGATAGCAGGGCCTTCTGATGCTAGCTAGACAAGTGTTCTCACATTTGAGCTCTGTTTACTTCTGTGTCTTCTTCCTTTTGACTATGTTTTAACCAGTCTCCTTTATTACTTGATTATCACTTTGACCATGCCTTAAACATTTTGTTTTCAGAAGTTCTACCTTTTCTGATATCATAATACAGAAATTATAATATGGACATTTATATTTAGATGTGCCTATAGAATTTCAAGTACAATATGTTGTTCCAAGCCTAACACCTTATTCTTTACCAAAGCTTCCTATCTTGATGATACTCCAGCAACCTATCCAGAAGGAGAGCTATCATAAATATTTCTATTGATCTCATGTAACATTCAAACAATTTATCCAAACAGTCTTTCCCTAAAACATAGAAGTTTAGAATTACATGGGGTAGATTATATAGAGTTCCATTGGTTTATTGCATGATCTTCTGGTACCTAGTATTAAGTCATGCCTTTCCAGATATAGGCATCATGGTAAGTAGTGTCTTGTACTATATAATAGCTATGTGATCACTGATTTCATTTTATTTGAAGGGTTGCTTTTCCTATGCTAGCGATGGACTCCAAGGCCTTGAGTATGCTAGTCAAGTACTCTGCCATGGATCTGCATCTTCACCATTTTGAATTGTTATGATTTATATTTTAAGTAAGACTTCATGGAGGGTTCACTTGGTAAGAGTTCTTGTTTAGTATCATGAATGCTACTCCTTGGATCTAGTGCATAGAAATGGTAATTTCTTGAGTAGCATTATTATTATGAGGTTCAAATGATTTAATTTATATAAAATTCCTCTTTATAAGTACTAGTGAGACTTGATCGTGCTTGACTTCCAAGGTCAAGGTGGTTTAGTCATAGATGCATAATGCTGTATTGTGGAATTTCAGTCCATTCCCTTCTCTGAGGTATAAACGAAGCATAATTGGAGTAGCCAAACACTGTCAGACGGGAAGTGCATTGGAACTGTAATGTGCATTGTACCCTAGTCTGCAGAGTATTATTTCCTGGGAAACCAATTGGGGTGGCAAATATCTGAACAGAAAATATGGCTCTTGGTGAATTTCTGATCGTAGAAAGACAGAGGCCCTTTAGAGTGTGAATACTGTCAGAGAAGTTTCTGAGGTTAGTTCCACAAAGGGATGTGAAGATGCTGGGGTTTTAACCACTCACCCTCTCTTCTTTCTCTTCTATAGCAATACTGCCATTACAAAACATCACTTAGGAGTGGCTCTAACTACAGTCTTGGAAATGTCAGGGACCTTTAATTTTTATGGGGTAAAAGGATCTATGGCTCCCAGGACCTACATTTTCTACCTTTTCAGCACCCCCACTTCAGCCCTTATTACTTGAGGTATTCCATGCATAATTTATGAGATGATGCTGCCCTCTTGTGGAAAGCTTAACCTTCCCTATGGACTACTGGGGACATAGTATAGGAAGTTAGTTCCTTCATGCTTAGTTCCAATTTACCCTCTAGCTTATGAAAACGGTTTCTGTTCTTCATAAATTAACACATAAAAGAAGTGTGATATACTTATAGTTTATAAGTGTTCATCCTATTTTCTTAGACACAAGTGAAAGGACCTTGGTTTAAGTATATCATTGACAAAGTTCCAATGCTGGACTTTAGGTCTTGACTTAAGTCCTTTGAAGATGGACATACAAAGAGACCTTAGAAAATGGCTTATTCTGAAAACCCAATCCACCAGCTTCTCTCTCTCTCTCTCTCTCTCTCTCTCTCTCTCTCTGTGTGTGTGTGTGTGTGTGTGTCTGTGTGTCTGTGTGTCTGTGTGTCTGTGCGCACATGCACACACACACGCATGTGTGCACATGCACACTTCTAGGGATCAAACCCAGAGCCTTGTACATTCTAGGGAAGCACTTTACCTCTGCACCACATCCCCAGCGCTATATTGATTGCCCTTTAAATGATGGTTAACTAAGTCAGAAATCAAGGTGGCATTGTCAAGCCACCTCTTGCCTCACTCTCAAGTCCAAGTAATTTCAAGCCTTCACATGTCTAACCTGCCCTAAATCTCTGTTAGTTTGTCTCAATTCAATCACTCTTGATTTCTCACCTGTACTATTTTGAGAGCCTTCCCACTGGCTTCTCAGCATTCAGTTTTATCTCTTTCCAATCAATCCATGCTTCAAAAAAAGGGTCTGAGCAGGTCACTTTCTACTTGAAAAAAAATTAAAAATAAGAGCCATAGAACTATGCTATTTTCAAAAGGTTTAAATGAATAGAATGTATAACCATATTAAAGACATTCATAAGCAATTTCGAATATTTTGTTAATTATGGAAGAGTTTCGTGCATTGTAATTTGATTATATTCATCCTCTTCCCCATTTATTCCCAGCCTCCAATTCCATACCCACCCAACATTGTACCTTCATGGATTTTTTTTTTTTTAAAAAGTCAATCCAAGTGGTCCTGCCTATATGTTTGTGAGTGTGTGGTCATCCACTGGACCATTTTTTGATCTACCAGGGGACAGACCCTTCACGAAAACTAACTTTCCCTTCCCTGCAAGCTGTTCTTTACCACTAGCTCCTCAGCGAGGGCTAGAACTTTATGACTAAGTACCATTTTTAACTAAAAATAACGATATCTAAATATCTA